TCCTCCTGATCGATTTTGTTACATCTGTGGAGAATTTATGGTGCAATCACAAGCCAGACCATTTTCTGAAAATGTGAAGAAATCCTACTTCAAGTATTTTGGAGATTTGGTTGGAGATCAAGACAAGCAGTTGGCTCCTCATTGTGCTGCTTTACTTGTAGCGTGTCGCTTGTGCAGTGTATGAAAGGGAAGAGGAAAAAAAATGCCATTTGCGGTTCCAATGGTATGGCGAGAACCAACTAACCTTTTTGACGATTGCTATTTTGCCTGACGAAAACTGAATTGTTTTCCAAAAAAACAAAAGGCACAAGATCGAGTATCCCAATTTGCCGTCTGCCATACGACCTGTTCTTCATGGTGCAGATCTCCCAGTGCCGATCTCGCCCTTAGACTGGCAAGGTATTATTTTGAAGATTAGGGAATGATATTCGAATCAAAACAGCTCTGCGAGACCAGTGTAACTGATTCCTACCTTTACCCAGAGGGCGGATCCGAACCAAGGCACATTTGGATTGTTCAAAGCGAGTTGAATGACTTTGTGCGTGACTTGGGGTTATCAAAGCAGCAGTCAGAACTTTTTGGATCCCGGCTTAAGGAATGGAATATGTTAGCCCAATGAAAACAAAAATTCACCACTTTAGAAAGAAATGCTCCGTTCTCTGCATTCTACAGTATGGAGGATTAGTTGTGTGCATGTACTGATATCGATGGCCTAATGCAGGAACTTTCTATAGAACATTCTCCTTGTGAGTGGCGCTTATTCATAGATTCGTCGAAATATAGCCTAAAAGCTGTGTTATTGCTTAACGGAAATTTAAAACCCTCTATACCAGTTGCCCATTCAGTGACAATGAAGGAAACTTATGAAAAAATGCGCATGCTTTTAGATAGAATCAACTACAACAGGTATAAATGGCACATATGTGGGGACTTGAAAGCTATAGGAATTTAGTGGGACTCAGGAGGATTTTACAAATATTTGCTGTTTTCTTTGTTTGTGGACAGTCGTGCAGTAAACTATCATTATTGGTACAGAAATTTTCTTTGGGCACGAAAAGGGGAAAAAAAAAGAAAAGTGAAATTGTCAAACCGTTGTTCCCAAAAATGTCAAGTACTATCCCCTCTTGTAGACCCCAGATAAAAAGACTCTCCTAGCCTTCCTCTTCATATCAAAAACTATGGCCTCATTGAAAAAACTTCGTGAAGCGCATGGAATAAAGAAGGTGAGGCGATTTTAAATACCTAAGGCAAGTCTTTCCCAGTTGAGTGATGCCAAATTGAAAGAGGGAATTTTTATTGGACCACAAATCAGGAAATTGCTGGACGACACAAATTTCACAGAAACGCTTACCAGGCAGGAATTCAGAGCATGGACCTCATTTGTTAGTGTAGTGAGGGGAGAAACAATAAGGATGCGAACTGCGAACAATTGGTTAATGAGCTTTTAGATGCTTATAAATCGATTGGTGCCCGAATGTCTTTAAAAATTCACTTTCACCATTCTCATTTGTCATTTGTTCCATCACAAAAATATGGGTGCTGTCAGTGATGAGCAAGGTGAGTGATTCCATCAAGACATAATGACAATGGAAATTCGTTATCAAGGACGATGGGATCTAGCCATGATGGGTGATTACTGTTGGTTTTTGAAGAGAGAAGACGCGGTCCCTCAAAAAGGAAAACAGTTTAAAAGTTTTTGTTATGTCTTTTGCATCTCTTTCGCATTGTTTTTGTACTTGTGTGAGTTTATAAGTATGCTTGAGGAGTTGTAAACTATAAACATTTAATCGGTATTTATAG